AACCACTTTCTACAAGATAGATTTATGGCAGAGCGCATTAGAAATAATTGTCTCCTATTGAATTTTACGGAAGTTTGTTCTCACGCCTTGTTTTATTTATCATGATAATGTATTTAATAGCTATAACTTTACGACATGCTAATTAAATGCCTTAGGATATTAAAACATATTTCACTAGAAATTTAATTAAACAAATTATATCACCTCAATGTTGTATTAAAATTTACTTGATATTTTATAAAAGTTATTTAAATTTAGATTTTTATAGAAAATGTGTATTTAGAGCAGTTATTGGTATAATTTTCATACAACATCTTTGATTCCAGCATCAGTGGCGTGATCTACATTTCGGTAGCTATAACAATATGGTACGTTTAATTTCCTGTAGAAACTTTTCTATTTCGATTTTATCTGTAACGCATACACATTTCTAAGGAAAATTTTGGATCCGTGGTTTGTTTTTTAATCATGATTATCATAAATCGTATCGCGGAACGCAAACGCCTAGTGGAATAATCATACTGGTTTATACCAGTTCCGGTGTTTTTTTACTTCGAAGGCGTTTCAATTTCCTCATTCAAGTGACTTTAGCAATATAAATATTCACATTATTGTTATTACATTCGATCGAAACTAATAAACCTTATTAGGTTTTCTGTTTCCAATAGCACTGTTATTTGATGATTTTACTAACTTTCAATTATGCACTAAAAATTACTTTAATCAAAGTTTTAAATAAATATTTATTTCTTCCAGGCAACCCTAGTAAGAGAAAAAAACTAATTAAAGAAATATGATGGGGACCTAGGAACATTCTTCTAACTATTTAATATAATATGTACCGATATAGTATCGAAGCCTGTTCCTGCGGTTTCATTTGCGCGTTAGTTTATACTTTTGACTTTAAAAATATAGAGTTCCATATGACTTCATTCAAAGTTCATAAATATACCTACATAATCTGCAGTCGAGTTTCATCGGACATTAAGGCAGAATACAAAATACCATCCGTATAACCTCGACGTCCAGTTTTTACCGCGCACCACCGCTGGAAGCAGTGGCCCACTGTAGTATTTCAGAACTAATTCGAGTTAGGGTCCTTCAAGAAAAGAGCGTACTAATTTCTGAAAGGCTGGCAATGCACTTGCGAGCCTGGCAATGTGAGTGTCCATGGGCGGCGGTATCACTTAACATCAGCCTCCTGCTCGTTCACCTCCTATTATATTTTTATGTAACATAAATCAATAAGTTCATTACTTACCCCTCAGGAAGTTAAATTTTTCGTGGATGGAGATATGTAAGTCTTTGGTGGATATTAATAATATTATGTAGGTTTATAAACAAAAAACTAATGGAAAATATCTCTATTATTACTAATTAAAAATAAAATAATATACATTGAAATAAATAACTAACCTTAACATAAACTAAAATATATTATTAAAAGGAGTCCTTTAGGCAAGGTTCCGAAGATACTGGCAGCGTTCCCCCTTTGAACCGCTAGACTAATTCTTTGTCCGAGGTAGCTGCCAGATCTTCGGTCTCCTGTGATGTCGACTAACCTTTTTATATATTAATAATATATTTATTGATAAAGTATAAGGTACTTTACTTACTATAAAGTTAATTAAAAAAACTTAAGCGTTATTTTCCTTTATGATGCTATTTTCTCTTTTATCATAGAAAGGCACTGCTTTCTTATGTCTCTTATTTGTCTTATATCACATTTTCATGTAATCTTAAACTCGATCATTTGAAAGACACGCAAACAAAATTGTAACAACACAGAACTGTTAATTAGACATACTTAAAATGATTCATTGGTAATTTTAATACTTGTTACGCTTTTTAGCCACTAATAGTTTTACTTTTTAATATAGTTAAAAAAAATGCCTTCTGGGTTTTCATCTGCCATGGCTCCAAATGTAAATAAATAGAAGCACATTTTGATAATAAATGTAAATATCTACAAGCTACTATTTCATAAAACGTCATTAAATAGGTCTGTTTCGTATGTAAAATATTGAATTGGTACCTCAGTTGTGTGAGTCGACGTCAGATGAGCTTAAAGGCTCAGTTTACAATAACCTATTTGTAAATAAAAATGATCAAAAGGCCGATAATAAATTCGCCCATCTTACTGAGTTTAAAAATTCTAACCTCTTTGATACATGATTAACTTATGACTTAAAATACGATTTTTTTAATAAAAATTCAAAACAAACAATAATGATAAAAGCACAGTAAAGTAAAATAACAGATATTTTAATTTAATTAAAACATTCATATTCGCTTAATTTATTTGCAAAATGAATAAAATCACTAATTTGACAGAAATACCATATTCCAATTAAATGTATAACCAGTTCCGAACTATTTCACCTAACATATCTTTTATGTAACAATTCCTTTAACTATAATATATGCTTTGACCAACGACCAAAAGAAGTATTCTTAACTTTCCCTTAGTTCCTGTTCATCTGGTATTTACTACCGCCTTCGAAACAGGAAAGGGTGTAGTAGACAACATACCTATCATTAGCTAACCGGAAACTGAAATCGAAGCCTATAGCGAACTTATCAATAAACTTGTTAGAACCTTTGTAAGTAATTGAACCACTGATGTGGAGAAGTGGGGTGTATTACGCATCCGTATTCTATTAAGGTTTTAACGCCTTTGATTAAAATTAATTGGTGTTTGACATTTGAAACTGATTTGACTTATGTTACAGTTAGAAAATGTTGAAATGTCAGGATTTGACAGCTTGGAAACAGATTAAACAAAAGGATTCAAAGAAATAAAACACTTCTTTGTTTATTTACATTTTGAATCCATAAGCTTAATACAATAATGCTTATACGTTAAGCCACTAACCTAGAAGTATCTAAATATGATTAATGTAATAATTAAGTTTATACTACATCTTGCATAATAATGCATAGGTTCTGAAAGTATTATTTAACATGAAATTTAGATAACAAATTTGGCTACTATCAAAATCGTTAATCAGTCAGAAAAGTCATTCCTTCAAATTTTAAAAGATAAAAGTAGTTGGTAAACTTTTGCTCTGCAAATTTTGCAAGTAAATTTTTTTCGCTAACTTAACCATATTTATTTTAATTAGGACTTGGTTTTTAGTTATATTGAAATAGTCAATCATAAATAAAGAAAATAGATTTGTTTTAATATTTTCTTCAATGATGTTTCATCATTGATTTAAATTATTATTGGGGGAAACAACAAAATCAAGGTTTGTTTGATGTTAATTCTGATATATTTTTTTTGAAGTTGTAAAATTTCTTGAAGTGAATTAGTTCTGATATACTTCACTGGTTCCACATAGTGGTGGTGCGCGGCAAAAAGTGCCTAAAACGCTTAATTGTGGAACGACAGTCTTCGGAAGTAGAATTTCGTATTCCGCCTTGACGTTCGACCAGAAAAACCCCTTAAAACTTGCAGGTTGATCAGAAAAACTCCTCTGAAAACTCTCCGTGGTAAATGCGGTAGAATATGAAGAAAGACCTGACTCAAAAATTCCTTTTATAAAAAAAAAAAAAAGGAAAAGGGAAGGGAAAAAAAAAAAGGGAAGAAAAAAGGGAAAGGGCTTATTTTTTTTAAAGGGTGGGGGCCCCCTAAAATCAACAGCTGGCCATTATTAACGGTTTCCATTATTTTGGAGAACAATGAGGTTATAGATAGCTTTTGGGTGATAGTTGTGTAGTTTAGTCAGAGCAATCGCTTTTTAGGGATCGGATGTATTGAAGTGGTCTTCCAGCACTTTGGGACAATGGCGAGCGAGTAAAGGTATCGGATAAGGCGCGTTAGGACCGGAGCCAACATAGGAGCACAAGTACGTAGCCATGGGGGGGATGCCTTCGAGTCCGCTCGACTTATGCATGGTCAAGGAAGATAGCTTTGCGGATATAACTTCAGACATCAAAGTATCACATTATAGTAATGTTGGTGACCAAGTCAAGCCTAGGAGATCGGCATTCTCCTTCGCAGTATGGGCCAGCTTGGCCTCCCCCTGTGGACTTGCCACCGAACGGCACCGCAGAAAATAATATAACAAATAAATAAAAATAATAAATCATTGAATATTTTTATTTTTTTTAGCGACAATCAAAGAACAGTTTTGCACTTTTTATCGATGTTGATCCTAGAACTATTAGGGAACTAATAAGAGGATTACAGGTTTTAAAAAAATTTTTTAATTAAAAATTAGTAATTTTATTTTCTTCCTAACTAGTTGATACCTGGGTCTTCCTGAAATTCTGTTATATTACATACAAAAGGTCTAATTCACTAAACAGTATGAATATTGTACAGACAAATTCAAACATTATTATTGTCTGTTGTTTTAAAAAACTGCTTCTAAGATTTAGAATAGACTAATTTTTATCAGGCGTTTAGTACCTTTTAATACGTTTGGTAAATTCGCCTAAGCTACGTTTTACCTATTTGTAATAATTGTTAACCCATTTTCGTTTATACCCATATCCATCGCAGTTTTGAAGATAGCGTGTACATATAAATGCACAGACGGGAAAAATATTCTGCTAACTTTTTTATCTCATTTATTTCTGATAGCGTAAAATCAATTATAAAATTTTATATGTATGGATAAGATAAAGATAGAAGGTAAACCAACAATTTGAATAACTTTTTAATAAGTAACAATAATAACATCCTGTCGTAAAATTATACATTTCATTACATTAAATATATTGCACGGTGAAACAGCCAGATTTTATTCAATAATCTGACTGTTAATAAATAATACAATTCAATTTCATAATACTTTTAAGTTTTACATTGCCAAAATTATATAATGGCTTTGACTTTGATAAAATATTTTCGTAAATCTCCTGTTCTCTAAAAAATCTACCATTCAGTTGTTATGACGTGATTTATTTCATTGTAACTTAGAAATTACGCAAACTTTATATTAACACGACCTAATTCCTATGTTCTATTTACAATTATTTTTAAATTATCTTTATGTTGTCTTCTTGTCAGTCCTTTCATTCTTTTTGGCTACTTTAGAAGAAGCCGCTGCTTTATTGTCAGGTTTAGCCATTCGTTTTGGATGGCTGTGGTAATTTCTAGGGTAAGATGGCCTAGTAGGCACTGGTGGTACATATTGCGTTCTAGTGTATTCTTCTTCTGGCTCCACATCGTGGGTGTAACGGCCTGCGTTGTTGTAATGCATCGATTTAGAGTTTACGTACGCTACCTTATCGCTTGTGGGCGATCTAAAGACGGTTTGTGGTACCATTATTCTAAATTGCGATTGATATTTTGCTGATGGCATTGGAGTTACATAACTAACAGTTTGAACGCTAGGTTTTGAGTTCTGAGCAGCGCTATACGAGTTAGGAAATACTGCGGCAATGGTGTGGTCTTTGCTGGGATAGTTCTCTGACAGTACTAATGCTTTTGGCCTTTCAGGCTGTGGAGATTGATATGTGTATTCTTGGCCAGAATTAACGCTACTTTCTTCGTACTGTTCTGAATGAATTAATCTTGAGGGTTGAACTGAAACCTGCGCTTTTTGCCCAATTGAGCTAGATGTATAAGAGCTGGGGTCAAAAGAAGCATGTTCGTTTGCGTTTTCTTTTTCCACTTCATACGCAGAAGAAGTGTCTGATGTTGTGTAGTATGAAGATGTTGGATGAACAGCGCTTTGCTGAATAGCGTGGTGAGGATCATAGCTTTCAGCTGGGTATTCTTGATTTGTTTGTTCCGGTACTTTATGCTCCACAACTGAATGAGTTTCATGTACATTGGCACGTTGGTCTATAGAAGTTTGCACATGCTGGTATTCAGGAGAAGAAGATGGTTGTTCATACTGAGACTGAACGTAGTAAGAAGTGGGCTGTGCAGTTTGTGGCATATATTGATATTGATACTCGTATTGTTGTTGTGAAGGTTGACGGTACAAAGATTGAGACTGAGATACATATTTTTGTGGGCTATAACTTGATGGGTATCTAGCCATTACAGGTTTCACAGCTGAATATTGTACTCCAGAATAGTCTGATTGAGTATATGAGGGCTTAACATATGGGTGAGCATAGTGTGGTTCACTTTCCTGTGGAGAAAGATTAGAATTTTGATACGCCATAATTTGTGGTGCAAATGAATATCCATGTTTTTGGAAGTATTGATTAACCAATTGCTGTAAGTTTACATTGTTGAGATAAGACGATAGAGGATAATTGTTTGGTAGGTTTGCGTACAATTCAGCTGAAGGGTTTTTAATTGAAGAACTTGGAATTCTGAGTACTAACACTGGTACTATTCTTTGGCCGAGTTGTGATTCGTGAGATCTTAAGTGGTCTTGAGTCAGACCCGCGCTCTGGTATTGAGGATTTGTTAGCAATTGAGAAGGATCTACAAAGTAATTTGGCATTACTGTAGGAAACTGGGCGCTCAATCCCGAAAATTCTTGTCCATTATACGTAGTATAAAGAGTCGATGATGAATCACTACCATAAGTAGGAGGAGATGGTGTTTTAAATTCAACTTCAGGCTTTTTGTAGTCGTAAGTTGTTTGCTGTTCTTTAACGGGTACTAGTTCAAACGCCTGTGATGGCTGTATTTCAACATTAGTCGATGTTTTCTGATAATTTTCGCCCGTTTCTACGTAATGAGAGTTAAAGGTGCTCTGATGTGCGGGAATATCTTCTTGAGAATAGGGATAAATCATGAACTTTCCTTTATCTTGAGCTGATTTTCCGAAATAATTGTACGTATATCCATTATTCGTCCGGTATCCATATCCGAGATTAGCATCGATTGTTCTTTTGCCTTTGCCTTTTGCATCAGTATCATTCACTATCTCTATGGCAATTACTGCTGGAAATGTTAATTTTTTTTCGGTAGTATGTGTTACATTTTTATTTCCAACTTTGTTATCGGCTTTTTCCTTGCTATCACTGGGAATTTCAGATTTCACACCAAACTTTTCTTCGACCTCTCTTAAAAAACTTCTTTCTTCGTTAGTGAGGTTCTCTGCTTTTTTATCTGTTTCAAGTGCTTGTGGCTTATATTTTTTTGGGTCTGGATCAGCTACCGCTATCGTTCCTATCACGCAGCATAACATCTGAAATTAAAAAATTAAATGTTATTAGAAAAATCGCTAATTAGTCTGCTGTTAAATTACTATTTTTTCTCGAGGAATCATAATATGGACTTTTGCGTATATGTGCAACCAAGAACACCTAAGCTAAACGACGGAAAGTACAATACTAACAAACTTATATGATATTAGAGGCAAATAAGGATTAATAAAAATAATACAAGATGCAATAATAGAATGTAAATAACCAGTTTGTATCTTGTCTAGTTTACATAATATTCATTGCAATGCCAATGTCTAATTTGCTTGAGATGAAATCTTTACATTGCTACATAATTACGTAATGAGAGAAAAATAATGATATATGCTTCGTCAAATTGTGACTATGTAGAAATGTGTTAAGTTGTATCACGTATTTTTAACCGATCCACCAATTTTGATTGATTATATAATGAAGACAGAGAAAACTCAACAAGACAATTATATCTGATTGTCTGTTTGGCTTCAAAATAAGTATAAACAAATATTTAAACTTTTATTACATATTCTAGTTTTATTTATAACGCGCTATACTACTATTTACATAATTTGACACTGGAATTTCTTTATACTACTCGAATTCCATAATTTCAATATATTTACGATATTTTAGCTAATAATTACTCATCGTTTTATTTTAGACGTAAATATATCAACATTTACACAGTAATATTTGTATTATATAACTTCAATTATGCGCAAGAGTTTGCCCCGGTAACCTCGCGCTTTTCTCCAAATCATTTGGCATAATTAAAAACCTTAATTATTCATAAACGTTTTATGTTTGCATAACATAGTTCCGTTATTTAAGACAGCATATACTTCTTACTTTTTGTATATACACAGAATTTTGCTGAATCTGAGGCAAAAATAGTTAATATTTCATTCATTTTCATAGTTATAACAATTACATAAGATATTTCTAAATAAGCACAAATAATGCATCTTACGTATATGCGTTATTTGTGCAATGCGATATGAAAGTTTCGCGGTGAATCTTCATAAAGAGAAAGTAATGCATCTGAATTGTTTATGTGAATGTTTCCTGTATAATCCCTATGTCAAACAGTCATCATCGTTTATAACAAATCAAGAGTAAATTACTTCCAATGACTATATCACTTTTAGTATTCGATTTGTGCTTATCTCGCAAGTCCTAGCAAATTTATATACTAACTACATATTAGATTCCACAACTGTAAATCTAGTGGATTTATAAGGGAATCATTGTTATAGAATTTATATAGTTATTTCATAAACAATAGTGCAGTAGACACTTTAACAAATTTAATTATTACTATATCATGAGAGCCTATAAAAGGTATTACTCACTAAGTATTACAAAGAGAAATGTGTCATATACAGTGAAAGATTTTGACGCTTATATTAATTGTTATTAATATAAGAACAATAGACGGCAAACGATTGCATCAATCTATACTTCTATTCAAAACAGAATTAATACAAATTGTTTTCGCAATGATGATTCTTGCTTCGAAATTTGTAATGTATTATTTAATAGTTGAATGTAGCGTTTTGAAATTATATAGAGAAGGATTTTGCAGCTCTTCTTTGTCTGTTTGACAGACTGTTATTTAGTAATAGATTAGTCTGAAGTTCATACTAGCTGGGTTATAATTTGTTACTACTCATTACTTTAAATCTATAGAGATAGCGGCAACCTCGCTAGCTAAGCATACGAAATAACGAGGAATTGTAGAGATAGGCACAATAATACAGGAGTGCTATCTTGACCTCAACAAACCGCTCTTTAAAACGAGAGCAAATGATTTTATATGCAAGTCGTGATTAACCACCGACTACATCTTTATCGAGTAATAAATAATGTAACATGTAATAAAAATGTCTTATTTATATTTGTTTAATCTGCTTCTTTAATATTTCATAAGTTATTGAAATAAATGTAATATTTAATTGTATTTACAATATTAAAAAAAGATTTAAAAAATGTATCAACTAATTTTAATTCTAGTTGCAAAAGGAATGTTTTAAATTAGATAAACATTTAAATGTATCTGGGTCGTATACTTGTGGCACCTGTTTTATTAGTTACCTAGTGTCTAGTTCATAAAATCTTATCCTTTCTAAGGAATGATATAGTACCCTGTAATATTAGATTAAATAACATTTAAAAGTAATAATTTAAATTATATGAAAAACTACTTTTGTGTTTTTTTTTGATAACCATTAAATAAGATACTTTTATATTTTTTGATGGCCGAGTTTCCTACGTAAAAATCGTTTAATATTCCAATACTAAAAAGTTCAATACTTTTCTTGCTTTTTTAATGATTTGAATCACGGAATAAAAAATACAGTAAAAAGTCAGTTCAATAAGTGACTTTAACTTCTTTGTCGGTACATAAAGAACAGGGATTCTACCATACGAATAATGTTTTCATATTAATCGTTTATTATTAAATTACTTTTATAAATTATTCATTGTTGTTGTTTCTCTGTATTCCTTTATGTTGCTTTCGTTTTGTGTTGTATAACTGTTAAAAATTGGTAATTGCTGTATTTTTATCTAATAAGTCTTCTGTTTCTTGCCTGCTATAGTACTTCTTTACTATTGCAATATACAATTAATTCACAAGCGTAATTATTGTATTAGTTTATTTTCTCATGCAAGTGAATATCGTAATGTTCTTACTTACTATAACTCTGAATGCTTTAAATACAATTTACCATCAAAACTAAACAAAGTCATACAAATCATTATTGAGATTGGAGAAGACGATTAGGTCATAGGTAAACAAGTGCGCAGGCGATTAACAAAGACCCAAAGAGCCGCATGAACATACTACCAGGCCCTTACGTAGCGTTTTAGAGTCACATTCGACAAATTGATGCGAACATTATATCGCAAATTAATAAATTTCAATTGTTTATTCTCTGATTAAGTTTGTTAATATTTGAATGGATAAATTGTTGACTGAAACAAATCGATTTATTATGTCCGATAGGGTGTTTGTTTACATTAAAGACATTGTGTGATAACTATTTATGAATGATTTGCAAAGGCAAACATATTATATTATACTGTATTAAATAGCCGAATCTGATGTTCCATCTTACTTTGATTCCTAAATACTTTTAAAATGATTCCGTATCACGCCAACGAAATTAAAAAATCGGCAAGCATTTGAGAATTATAGTACGTTTAAAAATAATATTGGTCTTCTAACTTTGTGCATTATATGCCTAGCGAAGTTTGACTAACAAGAGATACCTGAGTAAAAAAGTGTTAGTATATTAACATGGCAGTTAGGGTAATTCAAAACCTGTGGGTGTGTATGTAATCAGCTTTTATCTCCAACCCAACACCCAGACATGTGCTTGTATTCAATTAATATCTGGTACAATAAAAAGGTTTTTATAACGGTCAAAAGACTGCATACAAATATCTAGGTAACCTGGCAATGCAGAAATTGTACCGTTATTACAAGCACAAAAAGCCAGACACCATTATCGGTTTTAACGACATGAAAAATGTGTTCTTTTTGCAAATTTACAGTTATCCAAAGATATTAATTTAAAGCCAAGCCCAATGGTGTTAACAATATGAAATAAATGATTACTCCATATTAACTTTAAACGTATCAAGCACCAGACATTGTTAGCGTTATAGTAAGCCCAATTCGAGTCCGATTTCAAAATAGTTTAGGTGAAAGAATTAGTTGCAATAAAAAAATGAAAAGTTGGCCTAGTGGTTTTAGCAACTCAGTCCAGGTCGTAAGATCTAACCCCGACACCGTGTACCAATGGAATTTCCATCTATGTCATTTAACAGTCGCTCGAACGGGGAAGGAAAACATCGTGAGGGGTTTCCTCATGCCATGCCTTAGACCTAGAAAGTTGATGGCGTGTGTCGGGCACATGAGGTTGATCACCTACTTGGCTCTTAGAAAAGCAAATGATCACGAAATAGATACAGAAATCTGAGAACGTGATACTAGTTTAAGTTAGTTTTTAATAAACAAAAAATAGTTTCGTTACTAGTTAAAGCTCTACATTTTTTTAACATTTAAAACCATAACCGCCACTCATATTATATGTTAAAGAAATAATTAATACTAAGCATAATAACATAAATATATTTACCAAAATGAACCACCGCATCGTTGCTACCGGACTGCTTCTGTCAAAAGAAAACCAACACTTCACCACACAGCACTAACACATCAAACGTTTCAAGCTATTCTGAGCTTTAATGCAAATTTACAAAGCTCTTATTTCAAACAACCGTACCTGATTTCGTGTTCGTGTCGAATACTAAAAGCAATGGGTTCGTGAATCACACTGTTACGTTCTTTTATACCTCGGAAGAGTTCAAGATGCGCCATACGAAAGCACGCCTATCTCTAGTCGAGTATAATTTGTACGACAGATGTAATTGCACTTTCCCTCCTGAACTTGACAGACTTGACACTTAAAGGGTGAAATGTTAAAGCAGGTTTTAGTGCATCTAGTATTGTGTTGTTTAGGAGAAACCATCTTGATAACAAGAAGTTAATTTGCTTGATTGACTTGACGTTCTAATCGTCTTAGGGACCCAACCCTAGGACCCAGGAAAAACACCCCTAGGTTAGAAAATATTTGTTAAAATTTTATACATATTTGTGTTTCTCCTAATGAATTTTCATATTTATTCTAATATAAACTTATTCAACTTGAAATAGTAAATGGTTTTCCTCTTCTAACTTAAATATCCTTGCAATAAATAAACCAATTCGATTTAAGGTCCTTCAAGAAAAGAGCGTACCAATTCTTAAAAGGCCGGCAACGCACTTTCGGGTCTTCTGGCAATGTCCATGGGCGGTGGTATCACTTAACATCAGGTGAGCCTTCCGCCCGTTTGCCTCCTATTACATAAAAAAAAATAAAAAAACGAATATATAAGGTACGACGAACGAGGCACTTACATTAGTCGAATCTCTCATAAGCCTTGAATAGTTGGCGCT